AAAAGCACTACCACTACTCTTAGTGTTACACTTGCTGAAGGAAGGACTGATTCACATTGCCACTATATTCATGAGCAGTTTTGCTTTGCTTTCAAGGGGCCTGCTTTAATTTTGGAGGAGAGATAACGTCCACATCAGTTTCAAAACCATAACTCTGAAAATCTCTCTTTTTTTTTTTTTTGTGTGTGTGTGTGTGTGAGAGAGAGAGAGAGAGAGAGATTTGGGATTAACTACCAATCAAAATGACTTGGACATTATTTTGGAAGGTCTTCAGGGCATTGTTATTTTTCCCTGTCAGCTGTGCTCCCCAGGGGCTTGCTGTGATTGGAGTACCTGGCATCCTGGAGGAGCTCTTGCTGACTCCATCTTTGCTGCTTTTGACCTTTAGAGATGGAGCCCAAACAGATCTGTGAGTCAAGCAGAAGAGCTGGTGACAGTCCTGTGCACAGCTGATTTTGGGTGACAGTGCAGCTGCCTGCTGGGGTGGGCTGGATTGACTCACCGTAGAAGTGAGGAACACAAGTGTGGGAGGGAGACAAGAGCCCATCTGGGATCTGGATGAGAGTTGGACTAAGGGAAACAGGCTGATCAGGGAGAAGGGCCAATTTCTGGCGGATCTCAGGACTATTTAGCTTCAATCCATCCCTTCCAGTACTTTGGATAATTGTAGCTGAAGTACTTTGTTTAGGAGATGGTAGAAGAGCCTAGAAATCATCGCATATTTTAAGCTGTGTATTGGTTAGAATGGAAAAAAAGAAAAAACAGTAATTAAAATCTGATACATGGCATTTATGTAAAGTGAAGAATGTATAGGATGATTTATTGTAACTAGAAAGTTTTTACCTGCCTGTTTTGAAGAAATCTTAAATCCCATTAAGGGCCTAACCCTTCAGACAGTTGAAGACATGAGCAGGTACGTGGGAGCAGTGCTGCTGGATTCGTTTGCACAGAAATTTTAGCAAGACTGGGGCATCACATATACTAATTATGTTGCTAATGTGCTAAGAATAACACTTCTGCTTTGTGATGTGATAGAGTTTCCACAGCTGCATTTGCAAGCAGAATTAAATTTCTCCCCTACTGACAATGCCCTTCAGTGCATCTCAGCAATACAAATACATTCTTCTACTCAGAAAGGTTGCTTTTCTTCTACTGAAAGTGATGGAAAAATAAAATAATCAAGTCCCTTCTCTCCACCCAGAAGATACTCACAAACTCAGAGCCCTGGTTCTGCACTTTGCTTTTGCCGTCAGCTCTCCTGTCTGCTTTAGTTCCCTTAGTTCCTTGGCCATCTCACAGTTAAGTCCTGCCAGCAGGACTTATAGCTGCTCAAATGCAGCTGGCACATCTGCTCTCCTACCTATTGCTCTTTTGGCCTCCATTATACACCAGTGATCTCCCAAGACAGACTTGGCACTATATATATATGTATCAGGCCTATCTTGTGTGGGCAAAATTTGTAATGGCAACATGGCTTGTAAGTCAGCTGAGGGGAAATGGTCTTGGCTTTCATGGAGCTTATCAAGCATTTGAGATTTCTAGCTTAGAGGTCAGGCAGCTGTGCTGCCTTTGTGGCACATCTAGGTCACCAAGAGGGCTCTGGAGAGTGGCTTCGGCGTGGGCTACAGTGAAGGTGAGAGTCAGGGCCACTGTTCTTTGTCAGACAATACAGTCGTTCTAACCTCAAAATAACAGAAAGCATTAAAATTCTGCCCAAAGTTTTCATTAATTTATAATAAAAACTCAATAATACAATTATAATAAATATCCAAGTAATCACAGCATGGAAATCAGGTTTCTTTCTATTTCTCACCCATTTGTATTGTCATTCTCCCTAAATGATTGCCGTTAAGCCAAAGTTAATCTTTTCAAACAGTCTTAATTAAATATAATCCTAATTAAAAGCAGAGGGAAAAGGGATAGCTAAAAATCACAGAAGCATTCTTGAACTAGAAGATACTCTTCTGCTGCATGTTTCCACCTTCAGTCTGGGCTGCATTTCCTTTTTTTTTTTTTTTTCCTTTTTCCCCTTAAATCTTTCCTGGCTTATGTTTTGTGACTGCCTTTTTTTTTTCCTCCTTCCTTATTTATTTATTTAGAAATACAGCTTTTCATGACATTAGCCATTCATTTAAAATATATTTTAGGCTAAAGTAACTTTATAAATAATTCACAGTGGCTGCAGCTAAATAACTAGGATGTTGGTCCTATTCCACTGGTGCCCTGTTAGGATAGGAAGGTGCGTCTGTAGCTTAGGAGCGGTATTGCAGGCAAGCAAGGCCTTCCAAAGAGCTTATGAAAAGGTGAATTGAATATTATTTTATGACTCTGAGCTAAGGTGGTGATACAACTGTTTGAATGTGCATAAAGATATACACCTAAATGTTTATTAGTGTCATCTTATTCTGATTTTTGAAATTTTTAATTTAACACATTTATATGGAATATTTCATGAGTGTAGCTCTGTTTTTAATGTGTCATTAGCTGTTCTATCAAGCATGCACACAGAAGAGAAATGACAATGTATTTAAATTTCTCCTGTACCTCCCTGGCTGAATATCTAGAGCTGTGAAAGCAAAGGACAAGCATTTAATGGCAAGTGTTAGTGAACCATGTGCCACTAATTATGTGCCAGATGCGACATGCTTCCCTGTGCCTTGGCTGAGCTACGGTAGAGCACTCTGTGTCCTTGAAGTTGTTTTTCTAGTGAAAATTACATTTTTTTTTAATCTCTGCATATTGCTGCTTATTGTTTGACTTCTGTGTGTGATAAATGTTAACTGGCGACACTGGAGCTACAGCATCTGACTGCCCAGCAATTTTTCTTATTCCATATTTAGAAATCTATCAAATTAAGTGGGCTCTGAGCTAGCAAATACTTAGATAATTTGAAGTAGGAGGAGTATTTAATCGCTATTCCCTTCAAATCAAACAGGGGCTGCCGAGCTCCACCATGTACCATGACAGAACCTTGCAAGGTGCAGCTCCCAGAACACAGTCCAGGTTGGATGAAGCTTGTTAAACATTTGGCTAGTCCAAGATATGTTTCAAGGGAAGCTGAACTGATAAATGAACAGTCAATGGCCCATGCTTGGGAATGCCAAGTTTTTAAGTGCGTGTGTTTGCAAATAGGGTCTGTACTTGTGTCAAACCTATTTGCACAAGTTCCTACATTAGCAATGGAGACTACTTAAGTTAGCCCAGCACCTTCCATTTATTCAGATTTGTCTCATCAATTTTCTGGATAGGCAGTCAAAAGACATAGCACAAAATTCAGAAAATGGAGTAGCTAAAACAACAGGGCACATATGTCTGGTAGAGGGAATGGAAACATTTTTTTCACAGAGCAATGTCTGTAGCTGTGCCCATAATACAGGTTTTAGAAAATTCTGTCTCTAAACTCTTCTGTCCCTTTTTTTTTTAATAAACTTTCTATGTTAACTGTTTTAAGGTACAAATTTTACAAGAGGGAAAAAAAACAGTTACGGCATCTGTCAGATACGTTATTGATGTGACGGGTAGGGAAGATTTCCAAGGAACAGGCTTATTTTCTGCGTTCGGAGCCAGCTTCAGGGCTATGACTGGACTGACTGTTGTGCCGATGAGTCACCACTGTGCCAGTGGTTTTGGTGTCAGTGATGGTGGTCGCAGCCACCCAGAACAGGTGACTGAGTTCTGCACACTGAGATGGTAAATGTGCCTGTGCCTGCTTAGGAGACTTGTAAACACACGGGACAACAGACGCTACTGACCTGTGTATGTAAAAGCAGTAAGCAAAGCGCTGTATATGGAATTGCCATGTAAAAGCCAGGGTAATTAGTGCACACACGCAATCATTTCTTACTGTATTATGACAATTATGAGCTAAGCATGATAGAGTATAGATTTCGCATAGAATAAAACCCTTCAGTGTCGTTGGTTTACTGTGGCAGACCAGCTGCGGCTAAAAAACTTATTATATTTTGGATGTAAAAGTATGTGATGCATTAAATGGAAGTAGCTGAAATGTCTTGCTAGGTAAGTAATGGTGGTTTTACCTCAACGAGAGATATTTTTTGCAAACCCCCGTAGGGCCGTTTCTGCAGCCTTGCTGCAGGCTCCCCGCCGGGCCCCGCAGCTAAGGCTGGGGGACAGGTTAGCAGCGCAGTGGCAGCTGCGAACACCGCACGCAGGCAGGCACAAAAGGCAGATTTCTCAATGCCAGAGCAGAAAAAAGAAAAGACTATGGATGGGAATGGAGAACTCCGGTCAAAGGCTTCCAGATCCTTTTCTGGAGGAGTGGTGCAATGAGAGCACGGCTGCCTTTCTGACCTATCACTCGAGAAGAAATGGAGTGAGTGTTTGTTCTTACATAGGCACACACACCCTACTTATAGTATATGCTGACTCCAGGCAAGTATGTTGTCACTTATTTTACCTGGCCACCAAATTATACCCTATAAAAGGACATATAATTCGGAACAAAACTGACACTTCCTTCACAGATAAAGGAGCTCATGTGGTGGAGCACTTCATGTGCATGGTTTGTGAGCCCATATGGTCCAGGCACTGTATTTATCACAGACAGCTGAGTGCTTATGTATCTTATATTGATTTTAACTGCATAAAGTACAGTAACTAAATTGGGAGCTGCAATCCCCTCTCTCCCTATATCCCTGGTGACTGAACTATCTATTAGGGTACATTTTCACACTCCCTCTTGGACTCTGATTCAATCAGTCTTAACTTCCGTAATGGAAAGGAGAGCGACTGCATCTAGGTGCTGTGTTTAAGGTTTTCTCTTGGCAGAGAGGGGCCTGCGCGTAGGTGTCCCACGTTACATTCACTTAGAGGAGCATCAGCTGAGTGTGAACAGATTCAGACCTGCTATCCTTTTTCCCCTGCTGTTTTACAGCTCACTTCACAACTGTCTTTTCTAGAACCCAGCACATGCAAAGGGCAATCCTTGTGTTTATGAACTTCTGTCACGCACCTGCCACTACAGCAGAGCTGTCCTCAACACTGTCTTTTGTGATCATGCTCCAGGTCTATTCAGTCTTTTCTGGTGCTGGAACTTCTCTCTGCATGAACAGCTATAATTTTTAGTAGTGTTGATGCATTTTACTCTTCAAAGTGTTGCTGGTTTTCTATCTGGATATATGGTGTTAGCCTTTGGGCCACTTTAATAAACTGCAAAAAAAAAAAAAAAAAAAGAGGAAAGCTATGTTTGCTAAGGCAAACACTGTTGAATAGTGTATGCGAAGATCACAGAGATACAAAATCAGTGTTCTTTGTTCCCGCTTAAAATGGATTGCAGTAACTTTGATCATTGCAGACAGGCAATTAAATGCAAATTCCCAGGCCAATTTTGAAATTAGGAGAGAACATACGACCTTTGGCTGCCTAGGCACAGCAATACCGAGCAGAAGTAGAAAGTAATATTATCTAGGTGAGTTGTGTGTGAAATTATCACTGGGAATAATCTTTACAGGGTTACTGTCTACTTTTCAAAGTGTAGGTTGCATAGTCATAAAGGGTTCACAAAAGAGCTTAAATGATCATTAGGACGGGGCTAGTAGAGCTAAGCCTATTTATTTTATCCAAAGAATCAACAAAAATGTGAATGTTTACCAGAACATGCATGTAGAAGGCTCTTCCTACCAACTATTTAGTCAGAAAAGGCATAACAATATCCCCATAGAATTAGGTTGAATAAGATTAGATAAAAGGCAATAAAAGATAATATTTAACAAAAAATACTTAAATAATCATGATGTATTACGGATGTGGCAGATTGTCCATTATTTGAAGCCTTTGGATACCTTTCTGAAAGCTATCACGAGATTCAGATATTATTGTCTTGATTCAGTAAGTACCAGGCAACACTCATTGCCCTCCATTATGCAAAGACTGATCATTTTTGTCCCTCTTGGCTATGAACGCTATGAAAGAGAATTTTTCAACCTGAAATTTTTCCATAAATCTTTCTCCTCTATCTAAGGGAATGGAGCTGTTGTCTCTCTTCCAGTTGTGGAATATATTACTCACTTCAGCCTCAAACCTGCTGAGCAGTTTCCTTCCCAAGGATATCATACTTAAGCTACAGTGCATGCATCCTTCAATAAAGACTGCTAAACTCTGTTTTCTTTAATATTTTACTGAAGCCTTTTACATATTTTTCCTTCCTGCATTCCCCAGTTTCTTCTGTGATTATATTCATTATCTAAATGCATACTAATTCCAAAGTTTTACCTTTTTTTTAAAAAAGCAATTAAGTCTAGTAGCAGTGGCCTTAAAGATGGAAGTTCTGTTCTGACTTGTTCAGAAAGTGGCAGATAACTTCAAGTACATCATTAACCTCTAGACGCAGCAAGTAATCCCTGCTTTCCTTTCACCTTGCTCCTGGGCTAAGGCCTGTACTGTGGGAGGTACCTCTTTTTGACACGGTATCAAAATAGAGCTCTTTTTGAGTACTTTTCTGTTCATGGTTCATGAGGATCCTAAGGAATGTTGCACAAGAATTTGGATTTGTTTACACACACGCACACACACGCCAGTTGAAGACAGAGCCAAAGAGCAACACTTAGTGTTTATTAAGCCTTTTCAAAAACACAGTCAACTTGAGCTTATTCAAATCTCTCTTGCACATTTTACTGCACTGGCACTAGCAATAGAGGCAGCAGCACTAGCAAAAAGCATTGGCACTTAGAGCAGAGATTCTTAAGGCAGAAGCTGCATAGATTTCAGATGTCACATTCATATTTTTATCGCTGTGCTATACAGAGAAGTTACCCATCAGACGTGATACCAAACTGCAGTCAGACAATTTTACCATCTCTGCAATATGAAAAGGGTTATTTTATGCATTGCTACTGGTTGGTTGTTTCTGGTGTGAAAGAGATGGAGGCTTTCTGGTGAATTAGAAGTGTGTCTTTCAGATACAAATAAGCACAGGAGGTTCATGTACATTAAAGATTTGCAATAGAAAAATACATTTCTAAATTCCCATGTTATCTCTTTCACCTTCTAAATCTCCACAGCCCTCCCGAAAAAATATGAAGCTGCAGCTATACTTGATATGAATGTGTCTTCTCAATCCATTTGCTCTTACAGAGGTCCCGTGAAATGGAAATGTCACTTGAATTCATGCCCAGTAGCTATTGGCAGAGTATCCCCTCCTTCCTGAGCACCTACTTGATGTCTAATTCTATTTGTATCATTCTGGTTATTGAAATCTGCGGTGTTCATCTGGCATTAAGATCACTGCAATTCTGTTATATGGTCATAGGACACAATTTTCTATGACTTTTTAAAGTAAAGAGGAAAATAAGAGACATAAGGACGAGTCTCACCTAGCTCCTGTTTTCTGATGAACATACCCAATTACTGATTACTAAACTCCAATTGTAGAAACAAGCATAAATTTATATGTGTGTCAAAAATAGTCTCCTAAGCCAAAGAAGTGTCATGAAATAATAGTCTCCAACAACTAAGGAATTAGGTCCTCAAACAGAATAAACTGAGGCAAGAAATCTCTAGGAGGTACATGAATTTATGCACGGCAAGAATTTTTCCCAACACAGCTTCACTGTTTTGTGTTATGTAAGCCTGAAAATTTCACAAGAACCAACAATAGTGGTAATTAGCACAAACAAACAACAAACAAACAAACAAAAACAAACAAAAACGGAAAATGGACCTGGGTTACTTAGCTTTCAAGTACTTAGTAACTACAGATGATAAAAATAGGGAAACCTGTCCCTGAAACCACAACCAACCAAACAGGAATACAGCATTTAGCTCATGTTCCCAAGCAATGAGATAGCATCAGAAAAACCTACAGCAACAAAGCACAGCTTGTGTAAGCTTTTAAGCTTTTTAAAATAAAAAACGGATGTTCCATTTATTAAATACTCCTGCTGAAGGAAAGCATCAGAATTACACAGGTTGTGAGGACAGATTTAAGTGTTTGATTCTCCTATTTTGATTCTAATTATACCTATGCAGAAATATTTTGTTCCACCACTGAGTTGCAACATAACATGGCGTTGTGCTTACAGCATGCAGCGAAACAACACTGTATCACTCTCCTTGTCATTATTTTTACAGTTTTTCCCCCAAATGAATTCTATTAATCATTAAATGCTTAAAGCATAAGCAGAAATACAAATAGAAGCTGTAAAAAAAAATCTAATACGTCATTAGCACACCTCATCTGAAACTTTTAAGTACAATGTAAAATATCATGTGATAATGTAACTCTCACTGAATAGAATAGACTTTGAATCATAATTCTGATTCAAAAAATATTAACCAAAAAAAATGACTATTAAAATTCTCTCTTTATCTTGAGGACTTTAAACATATATGAACAATAACAATGCAACATCTATAGCAGCCTGAAAACATCTATTCACCCATCTCTTCTTTTTTAAATAGATAGATACATCGCAATTAGTTCCTCCGTGGATGTCTAGTCCTACTGAGAAGGCCAGCTTCAAGACTGCCATTTCACACAGGGTGGACCAAGCACCAACACCCACAGAATTACTCCTACATGGGCATCTAAAATAGACACCAAGCAGGGGATCCACCTGGCCAAACATAACAATCTATAACGAAGCTATCTACATTGGAGCCAGTGTCCCAAGGGTGTGCTGTAGATCGAAGTCATCTCGCCTACCTAGAGCAGCTATCCACAACTCCCTATTTGCCTCTGCTAGCAACAGAGGGAGCTGCAACCGAGTATCCACGTTGTAGGTGTCCACATTACAGATGTCTAAAGACAATTAAAATGAATTCCACCTAAAGGCTATAGACAGATGCCCTGTTCCAGGGCTGGCGGTGCCTGCTGAAGATGAACTAACTGCAGGGACTTGTCCTCCGTGAGAGGGAAGGCACCTCCTCCTGCCAGCAGAGCTGGCTGTAGAAGCAGCCCCCCCCCATTTCAAATTTACCCTCTTCCCATCTGCTGCAATCAAAGCCATATGGGCTACCACTCTTGACCTCTGTGCTATGATAATTAAGTTGATTTTACCTGGAGTAGAGTGAGCAGCACTTGCATGATGCCTTTCCCTGACAGAGCCTTGCAGCAGCAGGCTCCTGCAGTGACAAACGGTGGCAAATGAGAATATATTAAGTAGTAGAGCTGCCTGCAAAAGGAATGCACTTTACAGCCTAATCAGCTTTTGGTTTACTGTTTAGACAAGACCTAGGAATTCAGACATTCCCCAGAGTGGTTTATTATTCATATAACAAAGAGCACTGAGTCTTACCTTTCCACTCCTCATCAAAATGTGTTAAATCACATACGGCTTCAAGCTTACAGCTTAGTAACCTCAAGGCATAAAATCCCACTCTAATAAAATAAGGACTCCATTATTAGTTTGCTTTGAATTTACTGTAATTACAAAAAATTGCACACTTTCTGTTCTGAGATACATTTAAACATTTAAAAAATAGTGGTGAGTACACCTACATCCAGACCTGATTCTCAGTCGGACAAAGCAGGCCTATAATTTTTTTACCTCTTCCTAATTTCCTATGTGTAATTACTATACATCAGTGCCTCTTATGACTAGAAACATTAAAAAAATAACTTGAAGAAGAAAGGTTGCTTATATATGGCTGGAAGAAGTTCCTTATGTATAGCTGGCTTGCTATGAGCTGGATTCTGGCATTCACGTTACTGTCTTCCTCATGCTCTTTTTCTTCAAAATCTTAATTATGCTTGAACATAATGACAATGGAAAAGTGGAAAGACTTGCATGTGCTATTTAATACTTTGTCCCTTGAGGGACACAGGAGTAAGCAGCAGAGGCAGGACAGCAGCTCGCAGCACAGGGCTTAGTTAGGCTCTGCTGCATGAGCTGCTTATGGCCAGTGCTCCCCACAAGTGTGAATATGCAGCATCTGTAATGAACCCTGAGGAACATTACCCATAATAATCATCTTCATTCTCCCAGTTAAGATAAAAGATGTACAAATGCATTTCAGATTTTTATATTCTCCACTGTAATCTGTTTTTATAGAGATTTTAGTGCAGAATAAGGCAATTATGCTGCTACAGATAGGGAGCCCTTACTTTTAAGGTACTTTTTTCTCCAAGTACTACAGATGCAATGCCACATTTTAGATAAGAAGTCTGTTAAATTTTGTTCTGCAAAAGCAATTCTGCACTTACAACAATTCTCAAGTATGACCACGGATGATTCAATGTTCTATTCCTCCTTTTCTAGCAATTACAACTTGCTTGAAAATTAAATTATAGTTAATAATTTTCGCCAGCAAGGCTGGCTGACATGATGTGCAAATGCTTATACTGCCCTGTTACAGTCAGTTGTTCCCAGAGGAGAAGGGCTGGCGGCATGAAAATAACTAACTGCCAATACAGAATTGGCCTCTTCTGCGACAAATAAATGGGCAAAAGACAAACTGTTCCACTGCTTATACTAACCAACAAATGTTGGGACAACTCTTTACTCTAAACACAGCAATGAGGCTGCAGTGCAGTTTTCTGGCTTTCAAAAACTCAGTTTACCATTTGAGAATGGGTTCAGAACTAAAGTTCTTATTTCTCTGATGGTTCTTCATCTGCATTGACCTCCTCTCTTCGGAGCCACACAAGTGCTGACTTAGCTGTGCCATCTCCACTCTGCTGGGAAAAGCAAATGAAGGTAGCCCAGAGAAAGCCACAGAGCCCAGTGTAAGCTGTTCTCAGGTAAACAGGTACAAAAATGAAGTTTGACAGCTGTATTGGAAAGAGAGAGAGCTCAGTTAGTGCTCTAGGCATTGCTAGGTCTTAAGCCTACACATCCAAAAACTCCCCCTGACTTCTTGCTGGGTTAGGAGAACGCACAGGATCAGGTTTTATGACAAAGAAATGCCCCTGGAGTTACTCTGAAACTCACCTGCACAAAAGGCCAGTACATCAGCCCAGTCTGAAAAAGAAATGAGTCACTGTTACTCTTAGGGACTTCAACCACAAAGATTCATTTTTCTTAACATATTTAGCAAAGACTAAAACCTACCTGAACAAAGTTAATAAAAGATGTTTGAATGTGAACTGTTTAAGTTAGAGGTTGCAGTAACAAACTGCTGCCACTTTCATGAGCTCCTATGTTAAAGAGTTTCTCAGAACTATTATTGTAACTCATTTTAAATACAAAATCTAAGCACAGTAAGTTTTTGTAGTCATCTGACAACCAGATACATAAGCACATTTACCAGATGGGTGAACAAATGTTTAAATGTGTGAACATTTGTTTCAGCAATGAATGAAAAATACCACTGAACACTATTTACTTCACACTTACAATGCTCCTTCTAGTTACTCATGCATGTAAGATTTTTTTTTGCGAAAATCATCTGATAATTTACTCAAAGAACATAAGGTCAATAGAAACCTTATGCTTTTATAGGATATAGTGAGTGCTGTTTTTAGAAGCACCCTCTATAGTAATAAAAATAATCCTTTTTACTTCTTTTATCCTGCTTATATAGTTTCGCCACATGAAGAGAAATGCATATTGAATTACAGTCTTCATTCTACTTTATTTTTCTGCTAATCTGTCTTTCTTCTTGGGCCTGGGAAATCTTTAAAATTTTAATTGGCTTGGCTCTGCGATAGAACAGATTTTTTTTCCCCGTGTATATTGAAATGTTAACTAAAACCAACTATTTATATCAAAGTCTTCTTAAAAAGGGGATTGTGTTTCTGTATGTGAGAAAACCGTCGGTGAAAAGAACAGGCCGAAAATGATTCCTAAAAAAGATCTCTCTACAATGTTTTTAACAGGAGTTTGTGTGTCGTCAGTGGCACTGCTAACTACACACTGATGTGTGGGTACTTCTCAAGATAGAAGGAAATATAATCTTAGGATATAATTATTGGTGTCACTTTGTAGGGTGTCCAGGTGCAAGTGTTATGTGTGTGTATATATAGAGAGTACATTTTTGGAATGGCAGGATTTTACCTGTCTGGCAGTAGTGATTGCCCCAGATTACTCTGACTTTAGATGACTGCTGGTACCTAAAGCTTCCTACATATAATCAAATAATGAGGTGAGAGGAAGGATGTTAGAGAAGGAATCATACTTTAAATATTTTGTCCAACAGTATCTATTTCGTGCTTAACTAGAAGTAAGGGAACTATTGCCTTACCTTGTATGTATTCCAAAATTTCTTTCTACAGTCAGAAAAAATGTCCTCTTTCTTCTGAAGGATGCTCATACCTGGTGGCAAGATATTTAAGGCATTTAGGAAACTGCAAAAATGAAAACATCCATTTTTCCAGTGATAGCCTAAACTCTTCTCAAAATATATTATTTGGAAAGAGAAGCCAGTAATATTGCAAAGAGAGAATACCATTCTGACTACTTAACATTGCAAGATCAGACCTCCTTATCTGTTGACTTAGTTCACAGTGTTGACACTATAGATCAACTCAAATGTACTGTACATGTGGTATCAGAACAGGTCATGTAATTCCCCAGTGGCATGGTAGCAGCACCATGGTACCATCGCACGTATCTACATCAAATTCTAGAAAAGCAGAACAGTTTCAAAAGCTCCTTCTGTGGCCTCTCTGGCCCTAGCGCTCAACTTCCACCTTCGCTTCGTTTCTCTCCGATGGGAAGTCCAACCCCAGGGGCATCGCGCCTGGTGCACTGCCCCCAAGCGCAGCAGCCACGGCGCTCTTGGCCCACCTGGGCTCGGGCCGAGCGGTGCCCCGCTTCGCGCCGCGCCCTGCTCCCGCTGGCTCCAGCTCTTCCCGGCGCTCACCTGCAGGCGCGGGTGTCTCGCCAGCCCCGGCCCGGCGCCCGCGCGCACTCACCCGTGTAGAAGGCGAGCACGGCCACGGGCGCGCCCA